GGGGGGGAGCGGACTAGAAGTGTTTCAAAGATGTAAAAGAGACAGACACAAAGGTAGAGTGAAAAAGGTGAGGTGAGTACTACGGAAGTAGTTGAAAATGACATACAGTGGGGTCATGGTAGTTTGAAGTCAGAAGTCAACTACTGACTGATAGGCATTTTTACCGTATGAGTATACGGTGCCCAGGGTGCCCCACGTGGAGGTAAGTCTATCGTACACCTCTTAATACTCAAACAGAGTCGCCAGAGCACACATACCTGATGACCTCATCCACACGAGAATAGCCGTGCTCACATCAACATTAAAAATAACCGTGTTAGCACCTATGTACACACACATCTTGACAAACTTCGGAAACTTTTACCACATCTATTTCAGAAAAAAAACCGATTGATTAACAACTGAATAAAAATCGTTTGGATAAACCAGATATGACAACGGTACCACGAGCATTGCCAATAAGCAATCATCGATTTAACTATGCCAGATTCCGATAACTGCAGAAATGCTGTACATTAAATGAAGGCGGCCCAGCCGTACGGCTAAGTTTATACCAATGTTACCTAAGTAGACACGAAGTGGCAATGCTGATATCTAACGAAAAATAATTTTGAAATACACTTAGTTATTTTCTTCCGAATTGGGAAATCTACATTGCACAAACGTATTGAGGTTTACCATTAAACTTATTCTACATGAATTAATAATATTCCAAATAATAAAAAAAATCACATTCAAATGATTCTGAGATTTATAACTTATAATTAGATTTAACTTATCGCCAATAATGGCTGTTTCTGAGTGATTTATAGAATATTTGATTAGAAAGTATAGTCAGGCAAAATGTTCGAAGAGTGTGCATTAGGTACGTTGTATTCAGTTATGCTTATGCAAAATATTGCTCTACAGCTCTGTTCATGATTGAAATTGCGAGCTTATGACAGAAATGCAAATAAAACTGTTTGTATCGATAACATAGTAACTTTGTAATTAAATGCTATTATATATGGTATTGAATAATCTGAATTGTCAAGCAGTGCCCTAACTGTAAATAACTCGGACCTTCGTGTTGACCAATACATTCCAAAAACCGAAATGAAATTGTTACGTTAAAATTCGATATCAGTGAGAAATTGGAAAATATTCGACATTATGAAACATTAAACAGCTCATGTGCTTAAAAAATGAAAACATCTTTTATGTATGAATGGGACGACAGCCTCATTTATCTAATAATATTTAGTAAAGCTATTATGCAGTTACGGTTCCCAAATAGAAATAGCAATCAATCTTTTGTCCAAGTTAGAGCCAGTGTAGATGGAAGGCTTTGTGGCCTAACAAGGTGTTCCTAAAGGTGATAACTACACATTCTCAAATATTTTCTACTTATAGTCCGAAGGCCCATTTAGATGCAATAAAAAATACTAATACAGAATATTTGAAGAGTCCAGATCGCACACATGGTCATCTCAATTATTTATTTCAAGAAAATTTATATGTAAAATAATTAACATTACTTCTATTCCCTTATTATTTGCTGCCTGTATTTCATTGACGAAAGTTGGTATCACAGATCAATAATATTAAAATATCTTATCAAATTTAACAAGCCAAAATCTGATGTTTATCTTAATTAAATAAAATAATTAGCAATTATTAGTAAAAAACAATGAGTCATTTAAAAATTCAAAGTCTTCGGTCTAATTCCAATTGTTCTAGTTGGTAATTCCTTAGCGCTCATTCGTTGAATTGCTGTGGTAGAGAAGTGATGTCTTCCGTACAAGGTTCGAGTGATGGCTTCTTCGAGGCTCATGCGCTACATCCAGTTGACACAAGTAGAGCTAAAGATGGTGTCTGGCTAGTGAAAGTCCCCAATTATCTATGTGACCTGTGGATGAAAGGAAATACCGAAAAAGTTGTCGGGGAAGTTGTGATAACTGCTACCGACCCAAATTCTAACAGCAAGGACCAATCGAATGTTTGTTTGGTAACTGACGATGCTTTGATTGCCGAAGCCGGGGAGAACAGTGATTTCATTCCTAAGGTATGTTTATTTTGTGAATATACTAATTGCCTTCTAAATATATTTTCTGTAGAAACACAAATTCCTTGTTCAAATGCTGTCATCTGAACATCCTTCGGACAAGAAGAGTTCTCCTGGAAATATGTCGGCTATGATAGGACAAGAGCTCGTTGTTCTCTGTGAAGAAGATATTCCCCAAGTTTCCAATGACCCTACTTCTTCGTTGGCCATTTCCTCACAAAGAAATCGATCCAGCAGACGATATTCATTCTTTGGGCGCGTTAACAGTCGTGCTGAATGTCGTCCTCCTGATAATCTTAGATACATGAAGCTTAAGGCTGAGCAGGTTCGTTTATAACCCCCCTTTACTTCAGCTCACCATTCTATTAAAATACTTACTTTCCGCATTGTGCCTCACTTCAGCTTAAAGCGAAGAATCGTGCCAAACACAATATTTGTATCTTGGAGAAGCCAGTGCAGACT